TTGTAACAGACCTGTTGACAGGCCGTTGCAGGTCTGTCAGAACAGACAGGTACAAGGCGAGCGAACGCATCCAGATATCGGCTTGTTGACAACAGGATTTAACAGATCTGTTGCAGATCTGTTCCGACTTGCGCGTTTCTGGCTGTGCACCGTTTCTGGCTGTTACCTATAGGTAACGCATGCAAATATTATAGCCGAAAACATGGCAGTAGTCGAGTTTTATTTTTGAGGTTTTTAACAATTACTTTAATATATGCCTTAGAGTGTATTCATTATATATAGCTTCTCAGACCAACTGGTATTCAATGCATACGTTACCCCTTTATCACCTTCACCGATTTCTCGTTTATGTTTCGCTCATGTATTATTAGTGAGTTTAGAAATAACAATAAACCTAAAATCTCCCTGCTCATGATTGTTTAGGCAAAAGAGTTGTATCAGAAAGTCAATCAGCAAACAGAGTCTCTGCGTGGTTTATGGGTAGCGAAATTGAATCTTCGTGGTCGTTCAGCAATTGCTTCACCCGAAGATTTGCAACTTTACGAAAATAAGAGGAAAGAGGTGTGTACTTTGTTTCTGTCTCACGATACAGCTATTTTTGTCCCTGTTGACCTGAATTAAGTTTATATGGTACACGTATTGATATGTAAATTGTAAAGCAGATTTACACTATCGCAATTTGTTTGATAAAAAATTTAGACTTAGACAGTACAGAAACTTCATTATCTTTAGACTGTATATCAAAAATGGGTTTTGTAGATGGAAAATTTGAGCGGAAGATTATATACAATTTTAGACCTAACCAGGTTTAGACCTAGACTTGCGGCCCTGCGATTCTGGTGCAGCGCTCTAGTTCATGTTGCATTTTTCGCAATTGCTCCTGGTTCGATCTATAAATAAATGTATAAAATTCACACTCAAAATTTCCATCTACAAAATCCATCTACAATTGACCACTTGCGTAATAGACTTAATTTTGATCTAGACAAAAATTTCATCACAGCTTGAAAGAGCATCACAAAGTTAGTAATATTCCAAAGTTTCGTTGCGAAATGTTGTAAAATGCGGATAATATAGCCTTGCGAAGTTGACAACCCAATATTGGGGCTGTCAATTTCCCGTTTGTAATCTAAAATGACTGAAAATTGCAAACTTCGCAAGGCTATATTATCCGCATTTTACAACATTTCGCAACGAAACTTCGGAATATTACTAATTTTGTGATGCTCTTTCAAGCTGTGATGAAATTTTTGTCTAGACTTGTTTAGATCAAAATTTAATCTATTACGCAAATGGTCAATTAGTTCTACCTGTATCGAGTGCAGATGTTCAAAATCCTGATAAATATCGAAAACTATAAATGATGTTGGACTGTCGTATTCAATAAAACGACAATATTTTTGGTGGACTAATATATACACTTGAAACATGGTTTATTTTATTTTGCAGCTTGACGATGAAGTGGAACGCAGGAAAGATCTTGGATTCACTTTCCAACAACTGCTACGAAAGGAGTTGGATATTCTGGATGAAGACGAGAAGGGACGTGAAGAACATCAAATCTCGTTTAGTGCTGCCGTTTCTGAAACCATGCGTGTTTTGAATGGACTCACTGAAAGTACGACGTCATTAACACACCTTGACAGGCAAAGGTACAGTGTTGCTTTATGTGACAGGATTAGTACGACAAAAGTCTAAAAAAGAGAGCTTTTTCACATTTTACTAGCACAAAGCTTGCTTTACGAAATATGGTGAACTAATAATTTCGCCAGAGAACATTAGACATCTCCACCCTTTTTCTAGCTCGTGGAGACGACGCCCACATACAATCTAAGGGTAAGGTAGAGTCGGGTTACTGTGACGACTTGCGCCGGAAGCCTTACAAGCAATCTCTGAGGTTTGCGAAATAACGGTCGAATTCAGGGCCTGTAAAATTGCACCGTTCCACTTGTTTACACTGGACCATTACCGATTTGGTCGCGGTTATGGTGTAGTTTACGAATTTTCTATCTTCCGAGTAAACATTCAAATTTCATAAAATTGCAAGCGCCATGGTGGGCTTTTGTTTACAATTATATAATGACCTATTGCTTATATTTTACAGAGTGAACGCAAAAGTTGACGCTTTATTACAAGACATGACAGTTGAGGTAACCAGTGAATGTCAACGACGTGGAACGTGGGCCTTGCTAGGTCAAATGACTGGTGCTCAACTATGTACTGCTGAAGGCGAAGCTCTTCGTTATAATGATATATTTGACGCCGATGGAAACCTTTTATCAGATGATCTCGTTGAGCTGGATCCTCACACTGGACTGTTTGTACCTAGAGATGGGGCTTGCAATATGATGCTGGCAGATAACTTCACAGTGGTACCTATTCCAGCTGATTTCTTTGTTCATCCTAAAACAGCCAAAGTCATGCCGATTGAAGGTAGGTTTCTAGCTTGTTCTTTCGAGTAAAGATTTACTACTTACTTAAGCGAAATTGAATTCATTACTCAACTACTACCGACTATGTATAGGACGTGCAATTTAAGGCTTGCATGCATGTGAGCTTTCCAAGGGCAATTAAATGCCATTTCGGGAACGTTTCACATTCTTTACCTTTTGCCTTCTTTACCAACTGATGTTGAGATATAGAATGAGTCAGCTTGGCCGCTGTCTTTGCATGCTCTTTACCAGTCCGTGATAAATTGTATGTTTTGTATGAGTTCTGTACAATGGCACGGGATGAATTATAGTCGACATTATTCATTTACTCACGTGTGTGATATAACCCCGTGATACACGAAAACGAGGCTCTATAGCCAAAGTGACGTACTTTTCGGAAGGGTGTATTCAGCTCACATTTAATCTACATATTAAGAACATTCACTATCCGTGAATACTTTAACCAATCATAAAATCATCACCATTTGATAATATTAATGTATGGTTAACATTCAACAAAACCGCTAATTCAGTCGAGTAAGTCACCATCTCAAACTCATTAATAATTCATGATAAATTAGCCAACCATATTGCTCTATTTTGCTCACATGACAATACTGAATACCTGATGAAGTACATTGATCCAGTCCTAGGACTGGATCAAAATTAATTCAGTCCTTGGACTGGATCAAAATTCATTAAATAGTGATTTATTCGCATGAGATGTCATTTCAAATCCTCCAATTCGGACTGAACTAGATTTCAAGTCCTCGCATTTTGATCCAGTCCTCGGCTTCGCCTCGGACTTGATCAAATTGCGCGGACTAGAAATCTAGTCCAGTCCTCATAGTCGGATTTGAAATATTACATAAATCAGTCTAAACAAAAACTTTTTTTTCGTAGGTAATGTTGTTTATGACTCCGTTACTACCCACCTCGTGGTGACCGCAGATAATGTCAATGACGATACAGGAAATCTTAGTGAAACTCCTATTCCGTACATTCCTTACCCTGTTAATCCCGATACGGGTAAACCTGTGAAGAACAATTTTATTCAGCCCACTAAACCAAGTGAGATAAAATATGGTGACCCTACCAACGACCCAAAGACTGGCCTCATTGCACCAATATTGGGAGTCACCATTCATCCGGAAACTGGTGCTATCTATCCGGTAGGCGGCTGCCAGGAGAGTCCAGTTACAGGGCTACCTGTACCTATTGAACTTGGTTCTATGATGTTTGACCCGAAGACCGACCAACCAGTACCAGTGGTATCAATAACAATAGACCCTCGCAGTGGTTTTGTCATCCCCATTGGAGGAAATATGACAGAATCAGGGAAAGGTGAAGAAGTGCCGGTTATTATGGGGGAGGCATATCTAGAGCCTTTATCAGGTAAAATAATAATGATATTGGTATTGAAAAAGCGAAATCAATTTTTGGATTATAATGCTCGATAAATTGAAGACCATTTTGAGGATAGAACCTAATGTCATAAAATACCCGTGCAGCGGCACTGCAGCGTACAGTTTAACGTGCAGTTTAATTAACGTACTATCGTTAAATAATACTGTATCTTTAATCCGTTTTTCTTCGTTCTTAGGAAATATTCTCAAAGTGACAGGAGCTAGACTTATAGATGAAGATGATGAGAAAGAGCTAGAATCTATGGGTGGTGGCTATCCTAATGCACTTGACGTATGTGAGCTATACCATGAATCACGTGTGATAGATGCACTTCGTGAATGGAAAGAAGCAGCAGCTGGACACGAGGCATTATCAGGACGCCATGAAAAGAGCATATTGGAGACAAGGTAGGAGAAGTAAAGACAGTCAGAATAAGAAAGAGAGACTATATTGTGTTACAGTACACTTAAAGGATTAGTGTCACACCATGGTATCGCGGGCTTTTGTTATTGTTTTTATCTTACTCAAAATGAAAAAATACAATGCATTGCAGTGACGTGCAAAACAGTACTGCAAATATTACAGTACATTCTACAATTGTGTTGTGTTGTGTTGTGTTGTGTTGTGTTGTGTTGTGTTGTAGTATGTTGTGTTGTGTTGTGTTGTGTTGTGTTGTGTTGTGAAGTACGGTACAATTACATCACCATTTTATTACTGTATTCTATACGTGTTTGGCATTCGGCTTTTCGGCAATTGATTACATAATATGTACAGTATGTATGATGCTGCATATCGTATTTCGTGTAGATTGTTTAGTATTTTAACAGTTTTACTATTCCATACCCTTTTTTGGGAGAATCCTGTAAGGCAACCCCCGAAATGTGTTGAGTCGATATGTAATTGAACTGATAATCACAAATTCAACAGGCTTTATTGTTCGGACGATTTTTCTAAGTTACCTAAGTCTGGTTTTAATACGAAATGTATATTTTTAGGCTGAAGGAGTTGTCACGATCCAAAGTAAAAGTGAAGACACACTTGTTGCGACATTTACACGCAGTTTTGAAGCGTGAAGAACAGACTACCGTACTTATGGAATCTGGTGGATGCCCAGGAACATACGAATATTATGCAACGGGACAATTATTGCCTATTTTAGTCGGAACTACCATGCGAGATATGTCTGGATCAGGACTTGAAGTTCCCATACTTGGTATTGACAAGGATCCGGAAAACAAAGAGGTTATGCCGTTGGGAGGATCACTTGAAGATCCACATGGTAATGGACTGGTTCCCATTATGCTCGGCGAAAAAGCGGTTGATCCTGTGACGGAAGAAATGTCTACTATATGCGGTGTGAAGTTAAACAAGGACCTGAAGATAACAGAACCGGTAACACTGTCTTCTTCCTTGAAAAAGAAGCGCAAGGCACATCCTACTTTGGTAAGTAGACTAGCCAACTAGGAAAAACATCAACTTAAATTCCCGCATTGCTGAGAACAACGAAATTTTCATTTATTCGATTGGGTGCGAACCTGTTACATTCTGCATTCTGGTAAACAACCCCGTCTTCTCATTGATAAATGGCAGTTTTCAAACTTGGAACAGTGTTTTAGTTCTATTTCAGATTTAAATTCACTTCTCATTTCACTTCATACTCTTTTTAACACTGCTAGCTGATAACAACAAAGAGTCTGTTGTTTCAAGCCATACTTTCAGGATTCAGGTTCGCCATTCCATCCTCTGAGTAGTGCCCCCGTTGCGCGGGGCCCGGGGCAAAACGTTTCAAGGGGGCCCCTACCTCGACGTTCATTAAATTGTCCGACGTATAAAAATGTTTTTCGTTATCTTAAAATGTTCCCGCAATTCATTTAGTAAGGGCCTTCGGTGCTATGGGGCCCCCTTTTCAACTGGAGCCACGGGGCAAAGTGCCCTGCTGCCCCCCACACCCCTCTCGGCTGGGGCGGCTGGCTCTGTGTTACCCTCACCCTACCTCTGAGCTATTGACTCAATGGTATGGAAGAAAATCGACGTGCCTAACAGATCGAGCCGTTTGTTATTGGCTTCGTTAGCGATAAATTTAAAGAAATATTAACTGCGAAAACAGCTTTATGTGTATTGTTTTTCATTCACGTAAAGTTGTACATTTAGTAATGTGGTATTTAGGTCCTCAAGCAGCCCCAGAACAAAGTTTAATATTATACAAATTGTGTTTCTTTATCACAGCTTTCCATATTGGAAGAAGAATATGTTGCACGAAGAAGTTTCTGGCGTCGTCAGCGTCATCGCGAAAGAGAGTTGTCAGAACAGCATACTACTTTGAGAAAACAGATACTTGATAACTACGACATTACCTTCAACCACGTCTCTGAGCAAATGGAGTTGATTAATGAAGGTATTAGATTGATTGTTATGATTTAAACATGTTTGTAGTTGACTTAAAGCCAACATATCATTTCTTGCCTCATTGTATAAACATATAAGTCATGCAGTTTTGCTAAAGTGAAATTTTATTCGTTAGTTTCTTCAGCTATAAATCTGTAGCTGTTCAATATTTCGTTCAGTCAATATTTCCGTATGAGCTTTCTGCCTCCTTTTTTCTAACGCCGTATAATTTTTAGGACCTTTATAACGCATAGATGTCTCATACTATCTTTAAACTGCTTTTGTTCTTGTGAAATTCGAAATTTCTGTTTGATCACATGAATTATAAACAGGCTTGTAAATTAGTACATCCAAGTGTCGTGATCACACCTCCTCCCATTAATAGTTTCTCATCTTTTCCGTTGAATTAATAATTCATACGAATATAAATCTGAAATTTTTTATTAATTTCACAGGAGTATCCTCTCTATCTGACGCAGAACATCGCGAAGCACAGCGTCGTGGTGACGCCAACATCGAACAAACTGCTTCCTTACCACCATTCATTGTACATTGGATCACTAGATTAGATCATCCGGAAAAAGAAAGGGAGGAAAGTCATCAAGGTGCACTGATCAGATTTGTGGATGTAATTGAAAGATTCTTTGCCAAGTTACAAGCTGAGGAGACCAAGTATAGGGCAAGGATGGATGAACTTGAGGTAAGATTGTTACAAAGTAGATACTGTAAAAAAAAATATGAATCGTGATGATAATGATCATCGTCGTCGCTCTATTTTTTAATTCAGTAAGTATATTCAAATAACATTTCTTATTGAGTGGTAGACGTTGTCAAGAAAAGTAACGCCATAATGAAATACCAAATGATGTATTGTGGCTACTAACGTTATTATTATAATTATTATACGTTTAGAAGTTTAAAACGCGAACTGCGGACTGCAATGCTCAATAAAATTCACCACTGATTTTTTAGAAACTGAGCGTTTTACTAATTTGTTAGTAACTATAAATCTTTCATGCATTATCTGCGCAGTGTCTTTTTTACAGATTGGCAAACAAAAGGACAAATATAGAGAAAATGTCAGAGTAAATCATTCTAGTTTTTAATAAGTTGCCAAAAATTTGGGGAAATTAAAATAATACTTCTATATAAGCTTTGATTTATGTCTATGAATAGGGTGCTTTAAATCCAGACGCGGAAGCCAGTGTTACGGAGAGACATTATCAACTGAAGGATAGACTGAGAAGTGAGCTCGAAGATCAACTGCAAACTAGAACTGAACAACTCGACCAAGAACATGCTGCATTGGAGTACGTAAGAGAGAAAGCTGAGTTGCTGTTAAATGAAGCAAAGGTTGGTGCATTTTTCGCTTGTATACAGATTACATTATAAATCGTAAAATAATTTAACTGACATACATGACATGACATGACTGATTGGTAGTCGAAATGTAAATATATTTGTTTTACAGTTGATCCTTGGTGGTGAAGGCGCTTACACTGGCGATTTTAGTCTTCTTTTGAACGGTATATACGGAGACGACATTCAGTTGTCAGAGGCAAACTCTGAACTTATCCCTCTACTGAAGCGAGTGATCGCCTTGCTGCAGGAGAATGGCATTTCATTATCTGCCACACGTTTACCGCCTGGCTATCCTACTGGTGTTTCTGTAGTCGCTGAGGAACGACCAGGTAGAGGGATGGTAGCTTTGCAAAAGGACGAATCAAGTCTTCCTGCATCTGTCATCGTTCACGAAGGTAAGATATAAGTATATTCCATAAGATAACTATAGCTCTGGTCAAAACACCCTTTGATTCAAATGCATTAACGCAAGCCCCCCGATAGATTAATTAGTACTTTTCATTAGTGTCCTGTAACATTTTAGACAGTTTAGGTAATAGTTTCCTATGATTCCGAACTGAAAACTTAAAACGACCAAAAGTGCATTTCACGAGCACGGCTGTGGATGTCAAGGTTAATTGGGGTGGAAATTTGCCCTGGATCACAGAAATGCAAGGGACTTACAAATTTAAAAGGGTCGAAATATTCTAATTATTCCAGGCTTTAGCCCGTGGAAAATTTGTCCTCGTAACAAAATGTCTTGGTTCCCATGGACCATAAATCCAGAACTGAGACAAAAGGTAATCTTTCAGGGGACGTTACATATGATACAGTAGGTCAATTTAAAATCCCCTGGTACTTATTGGAGCAAGGAATGCGGTTAACTGTTCCATCTCATGTATTATATGTATCTCGCGTGTGATATTTGCAAAATTTTACAGCACCTGTTGGAAAGGAATCAGTCCATACGAGCGTGCCTTCGCAAGCAAGAATTGAACTAGGAAGAATTCCTTCGTCTACATCATCACAAGAACCTACCAAGCCATCCATGTCTGCAGATCAGATATTTAACAACCTTCAAGTCAATCAACTTGGCGAAACGTTCAGCGGAGGAGATGTGAGTGTATCAGAGATCGCTGCCACTGGTGAATGGAACGAGGAAAAGCGAAGGGAAATTGGTAAAAATCTACGAGAGAAGCACACTTTGGAGTGTGTGGAACACGAGAATGAACTAAGAGCAGAAGAGATTAAGGTGAATATATCGTTAATATACAACGAACAAGCAGGTTTACAATTTCGGCCGTTTTTAAACCCGGAAAAATTGTTTGGAGGATGTGTATGAATTTTGTGTTGAACAGAACTAGTACCAATACTTTATAATTTAGCTGTTAAACGTTGACAACGTACTAACTTGAACCTGCTCATTTAATTTCTCCTATAGTAAGTTGTCTAAAAATGCATGGCATACTGTCAAAGCTTTCGTTGATAGGGATGCAACTACCTGAAAAATACAAGGAGAAATTCGACGTTTCGAGCGAAGGCCCTTGGTCGGGAAGTTAGAATTTCTCCTTTTGTATCCTTACCAACGAAAGCTTTGTTATCATTGGCACTGCCTACACACTGCTATACAGACCATTCAGGCGGTATACTGTCAGAGTGTTTTGTCTATCATTTCCCTACTGCTTTCTTTTAATTTTCCTAGCCGTTTAACGTATACATTTTGGTTGCATTGCGTTGATATAGACAAACGAAATTTCTTGCTCATGAAACACGTGAACAAAAACCTATTTATATATATAAAATTTACAATGCAGTTTTAGTTATTCGTATAGATAGCCTATTTTTTGTGCAAATTAGTCATTTCTCTGTCAATTCAATGAATTCCTCTTTGTTCACGTTAGTTATTTATTTGATATCTTTAAATTAAGGCAATTCAAGAGGTCCTTGAGGAGTATCAAGAAAAAAAGAATGCGAAGGTCGATCAATTAAGAAACGAACTTCGTGAGAACTTACGCCAAGCCACCTCAAGTGAACAGAGAGAAGCCATGTTCGAAGAATATTCTCGGAAAATGGAGGAAGCTATTCAAACATTGGAAAGTGAAAAAGAAGAAAAAATGAAAGAAGTTCGGCAACGCTTGAAACGAGAGCGACTGAGGAAAAAGAGAGAGTTGTATAAGTAAGTCAACTAAGACTCTCTCAGCTTTTATAACCATATTAAGGCTTGTTTGCATAGTTACACAGCTTTATGGCCGAAACGAGTATGAAGATGACAATATTGTCATTTCGTTAGTCTTCCTAGTCGTGGTAACAGTGACTTTAATGCGTATAATTATTTTACTTGATATTAACCACACTGTTAATTTCAGGAAGTTAATTTAACTGCATGCAGTGGAGTTATTTTGCATCCAATTTTACTCCACATTTGGAGTTAAATTAGGTTCTAAATAACTTTACTGGGAGTTAAATTAACTCCCTGAAATTAATAGGGCATCTATGACCGTTCGTTGAGGTCCATGCATCCATGCATTCGTGATGATCAAATGTGTATGGTCCGTAACAGTAATGTTGACTTTACTGAACAGGTTAACCTGTAGAAATATGATTTATTATTGTACGAATGTACGTTGTATTTTGTGGTAAAGCTGAATCATTCAAATACCAAACGTAGCGAATCGTAAGGCACCCACACAAAGAGCTTTTGATAGAAAAGGTAAATTACACTGATAACACTATATAGTATTTGCATCTTTAATTAAAATTTCAAAATGTTATTGTTTTAGCCGTCACAAAGAGGAAGCGAGAAGAGCTGGTATCGAGCACGTGGTTGATCTTGATCTTCCTAGTGATGACCAACTTGAACAGGACCTGATACAACTTGCAAGAGAGCAAGAAAGACTGCTGACTGAACTACAGCGAGCTTATGCTGATGAGGATGCTGAGCTACGTGACGGTCTTGACACCGAACGTAAGGCCAAGTTTGATGCGGATATGGAAGCACTGGCAAGAGCCATGAGTACATTAGTTCCAACTGGAGATGTACAAGACGCCATTAATGAAATAAAGGAGGTACGGTCAATTAAGTAAAGTTTAATGTCATATTTACATTATAACATAAATATAGCATATCGCCATGAAGCCTTACAAATAAGATCCAATAATAAAAGCAAACGTGCACAATTGATTTCCCGTTGTGCAACGAAATGTTTGAAAACTGCTATATGAACGAGCTGGACTGCTAGATTTAACTAACTTTGTAGCTCGCTACATTTCTCCATGTACATATACATATACAGGACCTCTAAAGGGCATCCGTTAATATACATGCATACACCTAATCATGCGTGTTTATGTTTATTGTAAATGCTTGGTTAACTTGGCTCATAATATGACAGTTACATATTATCATAACAAGTAATATTGTTGAATTATCCGAAAATGTGAATTAATTAGCCTTTCTCAAGAAGGCCAATATCAGCCATTTTTGCGGTACTGTTTTCCCTCATCAAAGAATCCAGACAATTAAAGCAATGGGAAAAACGACTTCTCAAATTTGTAACTTACTGTAAATTTTATACCACTATACACACAACTATACACTAGTTATACAAAGTCGTTGTCCTCACTTCACAGATTTGTCTTCCAGTCATATCATGGCTTGTTGATTCCACGTGTTTCACAAGTGGTCTTCTTAAGGAATACAATTGATATTTCTATTTTACTAGGGTTTTGCATACTATTTTTACCTATCCCTTATACCATTTTCCCTAGCCACTATACTAAAAAGCGATACAGGAACCTGGAACTGGAACCGTGCATAATTATTGCAAATTATCGCACTTACCGTAGTGTAGGGAACTTTGGCGATAATATTTTTCAGAAGGGATTTTTTTCAGAGATATGTCTGAGAAATATATACACAATATGATTATCTGAGCGGTTAGTTGATTTCATGTACATCTTGTCTTACTTAAATGTTGACTATACAGGGTGTATCAAAAAAAGTAAGACAATTTTGAAATTGCTCTCAATTCTACAATTCTGTTCATGAAATGTAATTTTTTATATGTATGGATTGCTCGAGTTCTTAAATTATGGAAAATATAAAAAAATTGGAAAATAGTAAATTTTGCTATCCAGGGGGGTAGTCAACTTTTGCTCTCCTAAAAGTGGCTTGCGCACGGAAATGACAAACGGTATTCTTTATTTGAGTTCATGTATGAAAAGTTTGCTATTTGTTGCATTTATGATAAAATTTCGGCAGGATTTTACCGAGTACAAATCCTCCGAAAAG